GTGACGGTGATGGTGATGTTGTACTCGGCCTGGCTCTCTCTGTCCAGTGGTATCTCTGTTACCAGGGTGTAGAAATTCTTGAAGGTAGGCTTCAAGAGAAAGGGGAGGTCATCCTGAATGGAGCACACCATCTTCCCGTTGTCCCCAGCATCTTGGTCTCGTACGCTAAAAATAGCGACCACCATTTCAGGTGACGAATTTTCAGGTATGGGGCTGGTAAGAGATGTCATGACTATTTCGGGTGCGTTGTCATTCACATCCACAACCTGAACTAAAATTGCTGATTTACCAGAAAGGCTACCTCCATCAACGGCCTGAATATTTATTGTATATGACTGAATTAACTCGAAATCCAGAAGCGCTTTTAAATGGATTTCACCAGAAATTGGATGGATTTCAAATGTTTTCCGTATGTCTGTGGAGACGTGGGAAAATGAGTAAGATAGTTCTCCATATATTCCTGCATCCAAATCTGTAGCAGACACCCTGACGACCAAGGAGTCCACAGGACTGTTTTCTGGTACCTGAACCTCATAGACAGGACTCTCAAACTCTGGAGCATTGTCATTGATATCTAAAACCAAAACACGAACCAGTGTAGTTCCAGACCTGGGCGGAGACCCGCCATCCAAGGCTGTTAGCGTTAATCTAAACTCGGGCTCCTTTTCTCGATCCAAAAATTGGTCCAGTAACAGCTCTGGGTATTTTCCGCCATCATCACTGGCTTGTAATTTAAGGTGGAAATAAGGATTGGGACTTAATGTATAGTTTTGGACACCATTTTTTCCTACATCCAAGTCCTGAGCACTGTCCATTTGGAATGAGGTTCCTGGAGCAGTACTTTCTGAGATTTTCAGAAGTATGTGTTTGTCTAGGAAGGCAGGAGTATGATCATTTATGTCTTTAACCCAAAGTTCAGCCCGAAAAAATTGTAAAGGATTTTCAAATAATACCTGGAAATACAATATACATGGCTCTGTGAGATGGCAAAGAGCCTCCCGGTCGAGTTGCTCGTTTAAGAGCAAGTTGCCAGTCTGCTGATCCAACAGTAAATATGGTTTATAGTCGTCAAAGATGACTCTCGCCCCCCGTGCAACCAAGTCTTCCACACCCAAACCTATGTTTTTCACCACATTGGCTATAACGGAGCCGATCTCCATTTCCTCTGCCACAGAATAGCGCCAGGGCTCTGAACACACCAAAGACCCTCCCAGGAAAACAAAGAAAAGCAGCACTTGCCTTATCCGCTGAGGGCGCCTCTCTCCTGGCTCCATGGCTCCTTAGCCAAAGGTGTTTCTGCAGAAATGTTTCAACTCAGTCGCAAACAGCTCCTATATTGCTCCTTTCATCTATCAGCCTGGACCACTGGGGATCTATAGACTTGTAATCCTGTCACGAGGGTGTTGTTGGCTCCCTAGCTTTCTCTTGAAACCCTCTTTTCCCCTTCCTGCTTCTCCTGTGCTCTCAATTCCACTGATTAATGGAGACCAGAGCATTGGATAGTACCATAAAGTCCCCATCTTATCCTGCAGCGCCACCACGCGACTCTGCAGCTTCTCAGGTTTTTAAACAGTCAAATAAGTTTGAGACAAAATATTATTTTGTGTATTTGTTGATTAATTTAAATTACACTTTCTCCGGGGCACCTGGGTGGCTCAGTCATTAAGCATCTGCCTTCGGCTCAGGTCATGATCCCAGGGTCCTGGGATTGAGCCCTGCATCGGGCTCCCTGCTCCAGCCTGCTTCTCCCTCTCCCACTCCCCCTGCTTGCGTTCCCTCTCTTGCTGTGTCTCTCTCTGTCAAACAAATAAATAAAATCTTTTTTAAAAATTGAACAAACTAGATCCCAGTTTAGTTGTAGAAAAGGTCTATTTTGCAGACCCAGGCCTTCCAGGGGCATAATCATAAATATTTTATTCATCCATTCATTACTTTGTCTAGCAAATATTTATTGACCATATACTTGTGCTAGGAATGGTAGTAAGTGTTAGGGATAGAGTGGTAAGCAGTTTCTGTCCTGAGAGATGGAGGCAGAAAGTGATTGCACATTTAAAAATAGAACATAATGAGGGATGCCTGGGTGCCTCAGTCAGTTAAGCATCCAACTCTTTATTTCAGCTCAGGACATGATCTCAGAGTCGTGAGACCCTGCTGAGCATGGAGCTTGCTTAAGATTCTCTCCTTCCCTCTTCCTCTGCCCCTCCCCACTAAAAATAAAAATAAATTAAAACTTAAAAAAATGGAACGTAATGAATACCATGATAGCAAAAGTTCATGCTATTCTAAGAGCATAGATAAGGGCCATCTAACCAGAATTTTGAAGTACAGAAAATACTTTTCTGGAACAAAAAATGGGTGTTGAGTAAAATTTCCGGATAATCCCAAAATATGATTGTGCATATCTGAGATGAGAGAAGTGTTTTTGGAAGAACTGAAATAGGATCAATATGGCTAAGCCATAGAACAAGAGGAAAGAAATAAGAAATGAGATTGGAGAGATAAGCAAATAATTTTGTAAGCCCTTCCAAGGCATTTGGAACTCTACATCAATGGAAATGCAAGATTATTAAAGGCTTTTAAATAGAAAAGGAGATGACATTGACCTCAACTAGAAGTGCAGTAATAATCTTATATTAAAATGATAAAGATACAGGATGTGGTGACAGACTAGAAATGGAGGGAGTGGGATAAGAAGTGAAAAAAATGTACCTTTCTTCAGGCTTAGGGAACTGAGTGTTGGTGCTATTAACTAATAGAGGAAACAGGAAAAGGAGAAGAGAGGAAGAAGTATAGAGCTGGAGAGGATGTTTAGTTTTAAGGAAGGGACCATTTAAATTTAAAACGTGTTGCGTTTGAATTGTCCATAGAGCACCCCATATAAATAGTTATATAAATGATCTTCCACTACATAAATGAAATTGAGAAAAGAGGTTTGAGCTACAGAGACAAATTTAGGATTTATCAGTATAAATGGTGGTTGAAGCCCTTCAAGAAAGAAGGTAAGTTGTAAATTAAGAGGAGTATGCTTGATTTTGTGATTTCGGAGATGATGTAGCTCTGAGACTATCATCTCCAGAAAGTGTCCATGGTCTTAGGTGACTAAGACTAGAGTATAAATGAATGTCACCAGAGGAGAAGAAGGCTAGAAACAGAGACAGGTCAAACTCCTAGACCCAGAATTGTGGCAAAGGATAGACAGAGTAAAACTGTAAGAAGTTATATTTGAGAAATCAAATGTCTTTACACCACTTCTCTCCTATGATCTTGTTTAATTTAAAGCCACACTGATATCTCTCATTTGATTCTCTTATTTGATGACTCTTAAGGCAGGAAGATTTTCTCATTTCTTTCAGCTTATTGAAGATATCTTGCTTTTAATTTCCAGTGCTACTGTTGAGAAATTGTCAGCATGGAACATAGCTGTCTGTCTAACTGCCATGTGTTTAAAGATTGTATGTCTTTTCCCTATACCTTTTCATTTAAAAAATTCTCTTTGTTTTTGGCTTTTTAAAACTACACAATGATGTTTCCAGGCATGTTTATCTTTTACTTATCCTGTCAGGTTTATTTGAGTCTCTTGAATCTGTGTGTTGACATTTTAATCAATTCTGGAAAAATCTCATATATATATATATATATGAATTTTTTTAAGTAGGCTCCACGCCCAATGTGGGGTTTGAACTCATGACCCTGAGATTAAGAGTCGCATGCTCCAATGACTGAGCCAGCCAAGTGACCCTACAGTATTTTTCAAATATTGCTTCTGATCCTGTCTTAAACTTTTTACTCTGTCCTATGTTTCTAACCATCTCCTCCATATTTTTTCATCTTCCAAACTCTCTCAGCTGTATGCTAGATATATTCTGACCTTTCACTTCACAAATTATTTATTCAGTTATATCTACTTTCTCATTAAGCCTTTTATTCAATTTTAATTGAATTTAAATTTTGGTTATATTTTTTAGTTCTAGGAGTTCTATTTCGTTCTTTTTTTTTTCAAGATTTTATTCATTTATTTGACAGAGAGAGCACAAGCAGGGGAGTGGCAGGTGGCGAGTGGGGAGGAGAAGCAAGCTCTCAGCTGATCAGGGAGCTTGATGAAGGGCTTAAACCCAGGACCCTGGGATCATGACCTGAGCCGAAGGCAGACGCCCAACTGACTGAGCCACCCAGGCACCCCTATTTGGTTCTTTAATAATCTATCACATTTCTTATTCTCTTTACATCTCTAAGCATAACTTTTATTTCAATTAAAGTGTTTAGCATATTATTAGATTGTCTGCTAGTTAAAATGTTTGAAGTATATTTCTGTATTCTGATTTTTTTTTCTGTTGGCTCTCACTCATGGTGTCATGTTTCCTTGTGTATTCAGTTATCTTTGTGGTCAAGTTAAGAATATAAAACTTATTTATATGAATATTTTTAGCCTTAGGATGAACTTTCTTTTATAGAAGGTCTGCATTCGGTTCCATCAGAATCTGGAAGCACTACTTTTGTCAACAACCATTTGTTCAGTGCTAAAAAATCAAATTCAGGGCTGAAATTCCACACAAGGGTTCATCCATTTCCTGTTTACTTTCACCTTAAAGGAGTAGTTCTTAGGGATCCATATTTATTAATGCAAGGGTCTTCTATGAACTTTACTTTGTTATGCTTTTATTTCCTCCCTTATTATATAAACCATCTAAATAGAGGTTTACACTTCCTAGGATTCCAAATATTCTAGTGAAAAAGTAGATTTTAAGCTCATTTATCTCTCTGGATTACCCTTAGACATTAATTGTGACCTGATAATATATTAGTGTCTTATTAGCTAATTGTTTTCAATGGAAGCATGGGTCTACACAATCTGTACCATCCTTACTACAAATAAGTCTCAATGAGACTTGTCTCAAAATTACAAGTAAACTCTTAGCTTTCTAGAGTATGGGCAATTGATCTCAAGAAGATAGAGAAATAATATGCATTTTGTACCAACTTCAACTGATCAATGCTAAATCAACCCTATAATGCTGCAATCAACTTAAACAATCTCTTCAAAGAGACAATTTCTGTCATTGACATTGGTATAGCTCCTACTTCTCTCTGCATTCTTTATTCTCCTATATAAACACAACTTCTTTCCCACATCTGTTCCTTCTTCTCTCCTCCCAATATGTTTATTTATATATTTGTACAAATATAAGATATTATGTATTATATGGACATACACAGCACTGTACTATAAATCTTAGTATCTTTCTTTCTTTTAAAACATTTGGGATTTATCCATGTGGTTTTATATACACCTAGTTCACTCCTTTTGATAATACTGCATAATACATCTTCAGAAACATTTTCCACATTTCAGTTATCAGTTGCTTTACTGATGGATATGTGGGGTTGACTCCTATTCTTTGCTCTCCCCAAGATGAACATTCTTATGCATATCATTTGTGAAGCTGTGAAAGAAATTATTTGGCTTATACACTTGAAACTAATATAACATTGTGTGTCAACTATACTTCAATTAAAAAAAAAAAGAATTTTCTGGCTTATATACCCCAAAGTAGAATTGCTGGATCACAGGGTATGTTCACTCTAAATTTCACTAAATACAATTAAATATCTCTCAAAGTGGTCTGTACATGTGATTTCCTATTGTTCCACTTGATATTATGCAAAATTCTCATCTTTACTAATGCTATGGGTATAAAGTAGGTCTTATTTTAGTATGTTTTTCACCAACTAATGAGGTCAAGCATCATTTCATGTTCTTTTCAGACTTCATTTTCCCTTTTTTGAATTTCCTTTCCCTTCTATCCTTTAAAAAAAAAAACCTTACTGGCTCTCTGACTTTTTGATTTTTGCTAATCTGCAACAGTTACTTGAATAATCTGAATAATAATCCTTCTCAGTTGAACTGCTCCAAGTAGCTTCTCCCTGCCTTCTGGCTTACCTATGTTATCTTTTGGTTCTGAGGTAGTAATATTTGTCAGTTTTCATCTTTATTGTTTGTACTTTTAAAGCTTTAAGGAATTCAAACTGATAGTAAGGTTATAAATATATTTTTACCAGGGTTTATTACATTTTCTCAATTAAAATACTTTAACTTCACCTCTTAAATCCATAGAAAGTTTATTTTTATATGGCATGAGATGAGGATTTTTCTTTATATAGTGAGCCAATTTTCCCAATAACATTTGCTAAGTGATATGTCTTGCCCCTAAACCCAGTGATTTTGACACCTCCTCTATCACAACCACATTCTCTTATATAAGAGGATCTGACCCTG